AAAATTCAGACCGAGATTTAACATTGTTTACAATTAGGGCGAATTAGGGAGAATTTAAATTAGGGAGAATTCGATGAATTTCAAAAACACTTAATTCCGATAACTCGATAAAACTCGATAACTCTACAAATATTGATAGTTATCGATAAGTTTAGATAACTGTACGTTTCCAGCACTGGATTAATTTCGATAGCTCAAAACTGTCCATCTCTCAATATATATCGATAACCTGATTTACACTCTGGTAACTGAATAAATAGTGATAGCTCGATAAATTCATGTAATTTTAGAAATTTCTATAACCCGATGTACACTTTGAAAATTCCCCAAACTTTAATTCCATAAAACACCAACAAATTTCGATAAAACAATAAATATCATTGATTTGATAATTTGAAAGAACTCGGTACAACTAGATAAATTTCGTTATTTCGATAAACTTCGTTAACTTTACAATTATTGATCGCATTATAAATATTGATTATTCAATAAATATCATATAAAATAGAATTTCATTATTTTGATAAATTTCGATAATCCGATAAATTTTTGTAACTCGATAACTATCGGTACATTGTAACAATTAAGTACCTACGTCTCGAAAAATTTTTATAACTCAATAAACATTCATCAATTTCAATAACTCGATACATACCAATAACTTAATGAACGTGGTTGATCTGATATATTTCGATAACTATAAAATTCGGCGATAAGAAACTTCATAACTTTCGATTACTAAATTACTGATGACTGAATTTTCTTACCCCTTCAGTTACCCCACTGCATGTATACATATATTTTTATTTTCAATTTTGCCTTCATTATTTCTTTCTTCGTCTTCATATTTATTATCTCTATTACAAAGTTGGGCAGGTTGCAATAACAACTATACATGAATACAGAAACTTTTAAACGACGATTTTTTTTGGTAATTTTCAACCAATTTTAAAACTACTCATCTACAGAAAAATTACTTTTCAATGGTGTTCTTGGTTTTGAAATCGGTTCAGTACAATCGCCAAACGAAAGCGGACAAAATTTATGTTAGCGTATTAATATATGGATATCGAGAACGATTTATATAAATACGCTTATATAAATTCCGATAAATAATATTAATGACGATCGATAAATAAAATCACTTATGAACTTATCGATTAATGTACCAAAAATGATATCGATAACGACCACACTATCGACAAAACGAAAGTACCTGTATACCATAAATACTCGAACCTTACCTGGCCAACAGTCACAACGTAATTGCATAATCACGTTGAAAATACCAAAACCCGCATTCATACCGCCGCAATCGATCCATCAATCGTTTAATAAGCGAATGATCGCAAAAAATAGCGCCGATTCCGATTCGATTGTAGGCGGAGGCGGACACCGTAATTGGCGAAAAGCAATCAAGCAAAGTTAAAAAATTAAACAATGAAAATTATAAAATAAAAAAATGGAAAAAGACAAAAACACTTGAGATGCCAATTACGGTCAACTGGGCTTTAAGTATGTAAAACAAATTGTCTGACCGGTGCCCAAAGCAGACGGTAAACGGCCGCTAAGTGGCTGACGCTTGACGCTCGGCGGTTGATAAGTGATGCTCAGCTGTTTGCAGCGCGCAACGAGCGATGTTGCGACGTATTCATACATGGCAATGTACATAAGGGTGGTCCAAAAATACATAGGACAATCAAGTTTTTTGGTTTTTCCTGCTGCCACCCCCAGAATTGAAGAATATAATAAATAAGGAGACACGTAGTTTTTTATTTTGAAATCGGGTAATATTTACCCGTGCCGCCGGGGCTTTGAAGTTTCCCAAGTATTTTACATGGGGAAAATACATTTTTTCGTAGAACTTATAAAAAATAGTTAAAAATAAATATTTTTTGTTCGAATAAGACTATTTCCCTTCAGAAGTCTTAAAAAAATAATACTATGATGCTTATTTTACTTAAACATTTTACTGAGTGTGTTTTAATAACCGATAATCCTATCTGTTATATACCAAAATTAGTTACTTTATGTTTTCATAACCACATGACTAAAGAATAGCTCTATAGATGGTTTTATTTTTTAGTTTTTGCACTCTTCTCAATTATTTCTGTGCCTATGTGGTAGAAAATTAAAAATAGGGTTGCCAAATATTTGAAAATTAAAAGTTATTTAAGGCCTCAATAAAATAGTTACATTTTTTCATCGAAACTAAAATCGTTTGAAGAGATTTCATAACATTTTAGTACGGTGTTGCCACCTTTCTAAAAAATACAAGAATGTTTGCTGGGAGTGCATAAACTTTCCATTTGATACCCATATTGTGGTATTAAAGAAGCTTCGAACAAAATTTTGGGCCACCCTTATATTCATACAGATATTGATACATACATAAAAACACAAATGCATTCGCGTCGCGCATTACAATTAACCTTGGCAAAGAAATGAGGAAATGCGATAAAAAAATATGCTATGCTGTTAATGGTTGTTATCGTTTTTCAGATACGTACATGCGGATTGGCTATGGTAGGTTTGATGTATTTGAATTTAATAAAAAGAACATTATATAAAGTAATAAGAAATCGTTTTTGGGGTATTTGTTTAGGCATTTCATTTTCTCTTATTTTCACTTTATATATTTATCGATAATTGGTTAAGCTCATTATTTCAACACTTAATTTAAGACTAAGACTTCTGCTTCAAAAATGTTACAACAACTTTAATGTCCCCAGCTTTAAAGTATTTCTAATCTCAAGTTTCGCGCAGTACACGCAGTGCCTGTATCCTTATGCATTTTCGATATATCAGTGTAAATAACCTCAGAATTAGTCATCCTCATGCGCTCTCATTCATCTCGAAGTACCGATCCGGAATCTCGTAGTCGATCTGTTTAGGAAGTTTTGACACTACATTTACTACTACTGTAACCGTAGGACATGCACTCCGCATAGACCTTCTTTGACAGTTTGCTCTCCAGTATTATTCCGATGCGTCGTGTTCCTTGTAATTTCAAAAAAAAAAAAACCTTTATTGAATTACATCGAATAAAATACATAGATGCATCGAATAATATTGCATTTATCGATACATCGGAATACATTCGATGAATCGAATTGAAAACATTAATGTTTCCGAGACACAATTTCTCCCTACTATGACGGAGCAACAAAGTTCAGCAAGTTCTCTTTGTATTTGCTTCAGTATTTTGTGAACCAGCTATGACCAAAGTAGCGACCTTAGCAGACGCGATACTGTTCAGGCAAATGGTCTCTTCAAGCCTTCGGCTATTAAACAGCCCCCACTATCCTTAATGGCATTGGCATATAGTACAGCCTTATACAGCCGTCGAGAATATTGCTCAGGCATCCCTTTTGTTTTCTGACCATATTCAGTTGCAAAACGATAAGAATAATAATTATTTCGTCGATAAACATATCGATAGATAAATATGTTTAAAATGGCGTTATAAAATTAAAACTAATCAGACTAATTTATTTTTAAGTTGGACCGGACCCACTCTCACAAATAGCCGAGTAAAGCCAAAGGTCTGCTGCGATACACTCATCCTCATTTTTCGAAGTTCAACAATCAAGGTTTTAAAAGTTCAATTGGCATAAAATGAAATAGCATTTTTATGCGATTTTTACTGCAAAGCACGAACGCGTTTTCCACATTGCGAGTCGTAAAAAAATGCAATCAATTTTTAATCAAAGTGGCTACATTGCCTAACAGTCTAATTCACAAATAATCGCAAATGCTAATTACTTTCACATATTCTCACGATGCCAAACACTAATCTAGCTTAGCATTGAGTTAACTAACAAACTTCATTCATGGCTTACGAAAATCAGCGGCTAACAAGATATTGATTAACTGCTTATAAACATCCAGAAGCTGATCTTGGTGCGCTCGGCAGCTTGTCTGTGCATTTGTGTGCGTGTGTGTGTGTGTGTGTGTGTGCGGTCATTGCCGATTTGTTACTTTTCTGCACTAACACTTCCCTGACACACTTTATGTTACCATGAAAATGGCACATCCGACGGTGGTAAAGGAAAACAAAACAATAACAGCCCAAGAAACAAAAAACGTACACAAATGTTAACATACATATGTAGATATACATACATATACACCAACATGTAGATACAAAAAAGTTATGAGTAACCCAAAGCTGCTTCAGCGTCTCAAAGCAGTTTCTGCAGTTTCTTAGCTGGCATTCTCAAATTCGCAATAGAAACAAACAGATTTAAGTGTAAGTATGTATGTGCACAAATGTCTAAATAGCTATATATGTAGGCTAATAAGTATGTACCATTCAGTATTGCGTATCGTTGGCCAAAATGCCCAGCCTGACCAACGACCGCCTTTACCTTTATTGGCATTAATAATTGCAAACAAATAAAAGTATGTCATCACACTTAAAAATACGCAGAGATTGTTTCCAAATTGCCACACATCTAGGTGTACTTATTCCTCTTGCTATGTGTTGAGAAAAATCGCATATTAGTGCTAAATAATTACCGCTTAATTTAGTGGTAACTAATGTTTTCCACTCGATTATGTCTAAGCAAGGTCCCTTCTCCAGCAAACATCTGAAGCAAGCCTGCCATGTAGCGCTTGAAGGACACACTTCACTGGCGACATTAAGTCATTCACCCAGGGAAAGAGTTTAGTTACTTACGTCAAATAAGTAAACATTTTCCTCGCAACAACAAGATTTGGTAACTATGATCGAATCGTTTAACTATAACCAAATATCGGTATTGATTGATTATTTTCAATTCACTTACGATAATATTTTGAGATATGTAGTAAAATAAAGTAATAAGAGAGCATAAGAGAAGTCTCAATCAAACTTCCTTTCCTTCCTAATAAAATGTGGGCAAAAAAAAGAATTATGGACGGATTTACGTAAATGAAAATTGGCTTCTTAGTGACGCTAAAAATTTTTAACGCTGATTTCTCACACTACATCTCGTTCTTTTTCCATCTCTTTGCAGCCGAAATTAATACGCAAGTACGGTTATCCATCGGAGACGCATACCGTGGTGACAAAGGATGGCTATATCCTGGAGATGCATCGCATACCGAAGCGCGGCGCCCAGCCGGTGCTGCTGATGCACGGCATACTGGACACGTCGGCCACGTGGGTGCTAATGGGGCCCAAGTCGGGGTTGGGTGAGTTGTGTTGTCGCACAAATTCACTCCATGGAGTGCTGTTTTGCATCTGCATTTTTTCCCCATTCCCTTTCACTCTCTCCACACATGCTACACTTTGTAAGCCTCCACATTTGTATACAGACTTGCATTTTCCATGCATTCAGTTCTTTGCGCGCGCCTTCGTCAACTTTGCCGCATTCAGCCCTACGGGGATTTTTTAATTAACTTTCTGTGTTTTTGATGCGCTCGCGTGTATCTCGCGTGTATGCATTTGTTTGTACGTGAGTGTGAGTTGTACTAACCAGTCATTCACTTTTATTTCTTTCCTTACTCTTTTTCACCTCTCTCTATGCTCTTATCTTGCTAACTGCCCCCATTGCCAATAGGTTATATGCTCTCCGACCTGGGCTACGATGTGTGGATGGGCAATGCGCGTGGCAATCGCTATTCGAAAAATCACACCAGCCTCAATAGCGATTACCAGGAATTCTGGGATTTCACCTTTCACGAAATGGGCAAATACGATTTGCCCGCAAACATCGATTATATCCTCAGCAAAACAGGCTACGACCAATTGCACTACGTGGGACACTCGCAGGTGAGTTGCATGGCCACTTTTTAATGCTCCTTTCCGGTGATTGCTTTTTCCTGAACGTTTCTGTTTGTTTTCATTTTTTTTTCATAGGGCACAGCCGTCTTTTGGGTCCTCTGTTCGGAGCAGCCCTCCTACACACAAAAAATTCTCTCCATGCACGCATTGGCGCCGATCGCCTTCATCTCGGACATGAAGAGTCCACTGTTTCGTACTTTGGTGGTTTTTCTGGATTTCCTCACGGTGCGTATGCTTTGCAGACGATACGTACAGGATAACGGCTTACTACTTGCCGTTGGCCGCTTTTTTGCTGCTGCTGTTTCTTTTTGTTGAAATTTTTTCTTTCTCTGCTTTTAGGCGGCGACGCGCATGTTACGCATTACTGAATTTATGCCCAACACAAAGCTGTTTGTGGATCACAGCCAGGTGGTGTGTCATGACAATGCAATGACACAGGACGTCTGTTCGAATATCCTGTTTCTGGTGGCCGGCTACAATTCGGAGCAGTTGAACAAGGTATTTTTGTGTGTGTGTGTGTGTGTGTGTGTGTGTGTGTGTTGTGTGAATTACATATGTATGCAGATTTTCCTACAGGTACCCTCCTGCTGGAACGCAATGTCGCACGCAATATTCAATGAACTTACATATATACAGTGACTCAAACAAGTATTCACATGTTTTTTAAGTAAAATTTTTTGTTATTTTTCTGCCATGCTTTAACCAAAACCGTATAAACCGAAGTTTCAAAAATGTTTTTTTCTGAAAATTTTTACTTAAAAACATTGTGAATATTTGAAATTTTGATGCGAATAATTTTTTCAGTCACTGTATTAGATATACAGGGCACACATAAATATTGACCATATTCTACCCCATGCCTTGCGGAAACCTGATCAATGACGCTTTGTCGTGTAAGGAATCCTAAGTATATTTATTTCGAATTTTCAACAAGTTTAATGTTCTTTGTTCTTTGAAAACCCAGAGTGATACTTATGTATTTGAGACAGAACGAACGGTCGATCATCTCGAAAAAAATCGCCCACCAATCAGGGGGTATATAAAATTTGCTATACAAAAAATTTCTCGGAGCAGATTTATGGTTTTCAAATCATCATAGCGTCGAGCAATATCTGAAGTTTAAGTTCATATTTGCCTTATAGATACAATCTCTTTGCCTTCCAGTTATTAATTTTGAAAGTCCGAGTAGTAATAGCATGGATTAGTTATTAGCCAGGTGCATGGCCGCGTGTTTGCCTCAAGTTGTAATCAGATTTTGATGTGGCCAATATCATGAAGCCATCTTACGGTCTTCAGTTCAGCCCCTTTCAATATGACGAATAGTCAATTACGCTCCAATTTTCTGTCGTTTTCATAACTCTCAAATATGTGTAGCCACGGAAAAATTGGGCTTTTTACTCGATTTTATCATTAGAACATACATTTTTTCTAGTTAAAATGTCATGTGATAATCACATCATCAATTGTATGTCATATGATGTTAAGTCATCTTATACTAGCGTTATCATAACAAATTTTGCATTTGATATATGTAATATGTTCTTCAATTAACCTAGCCATTTTCAAGATATAAATATGTTGATGAATTTAATTTAATTCAACTTACAATTGGCCCGAATGTCATATGATAATCACTTCATCACCATGTAAATGCGTAATTTTTGTTTTTTATCAAAGCAGGTCATCACAAATTACGTTCGCATGTCAAAGACCCCGCATGCGGTGACATAATTTTGTTATAAATAATTTCTTTGCACGTACAGCAGTGCGCAGTGCGAACACCTACATGCATACATAAATATTCATGTACATTTGTATGTAAATAATGCAGAGAGCACTTAGCACACACCCCAACAATTTTGTCACTTGAAATTCCTAAATGCCACTAAATTAACTTTCGCTGACGACGGGTGCGCGCAAACGAATGCACAGCTGACGGCGTTGCCAACATTTAATTGTTTTGCTTTATTTTGTGCTCTGCCTGTAAATGTAAAGAAATAAACAAATAATTGGCGAGAGCTAGGCAGACATCAAATGAACGACTACTAAGTATGCATATTGGAGTATATGTAATGGTTTTTGTTTTGAATATATATTAATAAGATATATGTAAGTATCACGATTATGTTTGCTGTTGCATAATTGGCGATCATAACTAGCATACATACACGCATACAAAATTCAGTAATAATTCGAGAAATCATTTGATCTGCAATTGCACAGCTAGAACAATGTGGAGCTGTGACAGCTGCCAACAAAAACCTAAAAGTTTTCGCCCACCGTTTCAGCACTCTTGTATGCATGATAGTATCAAGCGTTAATCCATTGTCTTTGTCATAGGCACTACTATTTTTTTTCATGCCTTACAGCATAGTTATGTATATATTAGAGGGCTGCATTAATTCATTCAATACGGCTTTTGAATTATTCATATACAAAACGAATGAATGATTTTGGCCTAAAATTTTTTGGAATTTGAGTGAATACCTGTTCCGATATACATATGTGTCGACATTAGAATATTCAAACAAAGTGAAAATAAATTGAATTGAAATAAATGCCAACCTTTATTAAATTTTTTTTTAATTATTTTTTCTGTGCACATATGTACAAACATACACATGTATGTATGTATGTATTGCTGCCATGGTGGAATAATAACAAGGTGTTGTCAGTAGCGACGTGTTTGTTGTAATTTTGACAAGATCGGCATGCTTATTTTCAGTGCTGCCGATCCTAATTTTTATACTACTATTCGTTGGGAAATAGTATCTAAAATACTCCATTTTAGTATTTCGTTTTATCGCGATTTTTAAAGAACTTGTTGTTTTCAGAACGATATTAATATTTAAAATTGCTGGATTGGTATAATTTGTGTCCTCAAAATATAAAATATAAAAGATGTCGTGGTAATCAATGGAAAAAGACGTACACAAAAATTGTATGGAAAGGCGATTTTTTTTTTATATTAAATATCTTCTGCTGCATTGTCATAATATCGAGCCAAATGGACTACTGATACACTAAAATAGAGCCGCAGTATGGTTAAATTACGATTTCGCTAATATCATCGAAATAGTATGCACAAACGGATTAAAAGTAGTAAATAAGTAGTACCTTTTTTCTAATACTTTAAAATGCGTGACCGGAACTGACAACACCTTGTTATTATTACACCATGTTTTGCTGCGATCCTATTACAATACGAAAAAACCTGTTTGTAGAAAAAACTTTTACCGAAATGAGTTTAAACGATTTGAATGTTTTCCATTCATTCATTCATATTCTTCCATTTGAAGGTAGAAAATTTGAAACGAAATGTATATTCATAAATTACAAAATTCCAAACGCTGAGTGTTTTGTATGTGAAGTAAAATATTCAAATATACTGTACTCTGTTTGGCTAAAAGTTTGAATGAATTCATGCAGCCCGCTAGTACATATGGTACGAATGTATGTATGTATGTGTACATGCAAGTTTGCTTCCATGGAACCATCGCTGGGTATCGCGTTGTGAATTTTGCGAATTTCGCCCACAGCGTTATCACATTAACATGCAACGCTCACCCATCAGTCGCCAAATTTGAACATCCGGTTGACTAGTACATAGAAGACCGCCGAATGCCGGCGGTATGCCTGTTTATGGGTGCGTCAATTATGTTGCATTCAATGCAGCTGTAAATAGAGCAAACAATGCCACTTGGATGTCTATGGCACCGCATTACTGTAGGAAATGTCAGATATGACAGAGGGCACTGTTTGACTATATGTAACCAATGCGTAGATAATTATTATTCCATATGTTTGGCACTTCACTCATGTACATACATATATATAGTACATATCTATTTAGGTGATCATTGTTCGACAGATTCGCGCTAAGTTGGTGCCGAAATGAATAATAAGTGCATTATTTTGCAACCGTGCTACAAAAAAACACTCGCTTAAATGACGAAATACAACACAAACTTGGCTATTTATCCGAGTTCAGCTAGGTCGCTTAAAAAAAACCCGACCTGAAGGGTAGTGTTGTTCAGTGAAAAACTCCTCTATTGTGAATTGTTAATGGGAAAGTGGAGAGGGAAATTTTTGTTTCCTTATATTAAATATATATATATACATATATATAAATTATTCATTTGTCAATGTTATTGTGGCTTATTAACATTTTATTTTTAATATGTTATAGCAGCTATTTCGGAGATCACCACATCTCCTCATCAGACTTATTTTTTCTAGACTTCAGCAGGGATCGAACCTGCGTAATCGATGTTCAAAGTCAGAAGCGTTAACCACTGAGCTATGTACATCCCGTAAACTCTTGTTGCTAATTCATTTTCCTTATTCAACCAACTACTATCAAGTGCAGCAAATTTGCCGCTATATAAACTCGACAGCGTCGAAACTATGATTGCCCACAATCTTCTGAGTGCAGAGGATATCTCAGACTCACCCACTTGAAAAATACAGAACAGACTATGCGCTTGTTGATACCCATAGTTTATAAAAGATTGATTCTTACCAGTTTAACTATGCAGCGCTTATTATATTCACCAGCATCAGGTTAAAGAAAGCCCACGATGGAGAGTCTCCCTGTCTGTAACCTCATTTAGCATCGCACCACTCGAAGAGGCTGTAACGAATTCTGCCGAATGTTTGAAATGAAAATAGAGATGATGTGAGTCGATCCTCTCCTCGTAAGCCTTTTTCCAAGATTTCACGTTTAATGAATACAAGGCGGTACCCATATATAAGGCCAGACCATTAATTTTTATCACGGTGAGCCTTAGCCTTTCACACAAAACGCCCGATAAACCTTTTAAGCAACCATTAAAAGGCTGGTCTCGCGGTAATTGACACTTTTGTAAGGTGCAGGTATGCGTTGATGCGAACAAGGTATGCAAAATTGTTGGCAGAAATTCGCCAGCATTTGAAAACCTTCCGGCTAGCTTCCGTAATAAAAGCTGACCTGAACTCTTAATTTTAGTAGATCCAACTGCAGATAAACCGAAATATATTCTTCTAGGCTTAGCAAGATTATTCCCTAAAATATGCTTCGCTATTTCATCGTTCTTACGCCAAACCCTGTACTCTGTCGTTGTGCATAAAACAATCGGGCGCTTGAAAATGGGCCGACGATCAACAACCATTAAGTAAACCTAGCCAGTTGAATACTCTACATTTCGATAAAACTGAATTAAACTATATTTGTGTACTTATTTTTTTTATGAACTGACACATCTACATTTACAGGTTGCGATTTTGGGGTGCAGAAGAAGCGAAATACTCTTTTCACTAGCTTTCAATCACGATCAAGTTCGTGTCTTAAGTCTTTTGTATCCCAGGCGACTGATCTGCTATTTCGCTGGCAGGAGCGGGAGTCACTGAAAACATAGTATTTCCATGTGAAGCAAACGCACACGAGCATATATATATATATATATATAGCTCATAGATTAAATAGGAAAAATATATACGCTGTTTGAAGAAAATGCAATTAATCTGATTTTTAAAAACTTTGGAGTCGCAAACTACACTATGTGTTATAGACTCAATATTTCAATATTTGTGAATTTGAATTTTTTTTTGCGCGTACTAAACAATCTAATTTTCTTCTAAACTCTTTCCTTAATATCTTGCAGACTATGCTGCCTGTCATGCTAAGTCACACACCCTCCGGCGCATCAATCAAGCAACTGGAGCACTTCGGGCAACTCATGAAGTCGGGACATTTTCGTAAATTCGATCGTGGCTATTTGCGCAATCAACTCGAATATAATCGCATCACACCGCCCGATTATGATCTGTCCAAGGTGAAGGTGCCGGTCGCACTCTATTACTCGATGAACGACATGCTGGTGTCGACGACGGGCGTCGATCGTTTGGCGCGCGAATTGCCCAATGTGATTGACAAATATTTGGTGCCCATGGAGAAGTTCAATCATTTGGACTTTTTATGGGCGATCGATGTCAAGTCGCTCGTGTACAATCGCCTTGTGAGGAATATTCGACGCGTGGAGAATTATAAGCAAAAGCAGACGCAACAAATTAATGCGAGCATACAACAGTTAGGTGCGCAATTGCAGCAACAGCAACAGCAACAACAACAACAAGAAGAAGAGCTGCGCAAACAGCAGCTAGTACAACAACAGCAAGTGGAACCAAAACAACAACAGAGAAGCGTCAATTTGCGTTCGCAATCAAACTTAAATTATCATTCGATTTCAGCCGCCAATGTAAATTCCAATACAATTGGCAGCGCTAGCCAGCGCGTAAATGTGCGCTTACACCCGCATAGCGTACTTCATGCGGTGCGCGTAGCGTTGCCAAAGATCATGCCGACGCCAGCGACAACACCAATGCCCACGCAAACGACTTCGCTGCCGCTGCTGTTAATGACGACAACGTCGACGACCCGTTCAAAATTCATAACCAATTTGACACCGAATTTTCAAACGAATCCACCCATAAGCATCGATTCTAACTCGAATGTGAATCAAGATTCAACTGTGATAATTCCGAATGTACACCCGGTTTATAAGCCAGAGGACGATGGGGGTGCGGAAGCGCCTAAGGGTTCTGATGGCGATGAAAGTTCTAGAGGAGACACAAGTACCACGCCACAGTGGTCAGGCGATTCGAGTACCGAGCTCAATGCGGAAGTTACGACAGTAATGGCCTTGCTTGAAAGGCCGCATGTGCCAGCGAGCGCGTGAGGCATAACCTGATTTACATTAGTTTTAGCAACGCTTTAGTTAGGTGTTATATGTCTATTTTAAGTTTTTACGTGTTTGATTTTTTTTTTTTTTTAATTATTTTCGTTTCATAGATAGCTTGGCTAACCTTTTTCATTTTCAGAATTCCACACTTTGGTTTATTCACGTTTGCTTTTAACAATTTTTATTTTTTATGTTTAGATTATTTTTGCTTTTAGATCCTTGTAAATCAATATTTGATCACATCACAAAAGTTAATTTTAATATTGTGTTTAATGTAGGTATGCGGAAGTTATCCTTGTAGCCAAAATTCTATAGAGTAAACAGTGGACGTGACCACCTCCAAGCTCCAATGTTTTGCCAACCTATAACAACCTGTGGAGCAAGAGCTTGAGCCGCAAGAACTATTTTAGCGACAGAACGGTTGCCAAATAAATTTTGTTACAAACGGATTTGAGTAATATTGAGTATATTATCTATAAATATAGAGAAATTAGGGTCTTCGTTGCCACAAGTTCTATCTCCAAGAGATGACATAGCAAAATCGTAGTCTTCGAATAAAAAGGGTTATCTGCTCTTTTTAGAGGAACTTCCGGACTGGCAACCGGTATTTGTTTAGATGACTTAAAAACTGAAAAAAAAAATTAAATTTTTTGGACCTACAACCTTACACTGAAAAAAGAATTTAGTTATTTCATTAAAATATGTTTCTCTCAGCAAATTATTTGGTGATAGAAAATTTTTTTTGTTATAGAAATTTTTTTTTGTGTAGCCACCAAATCTTGTGTTCAAAGAAATATATACAGCTGAATTTTTTCTCAGTGTAGGGAGGTATCCCAGCGTATTTCAGCTGAATGTTTACACCATTAAATTTACGAAGAAACTACCGAAATTAGAGCATCCTAATCCCAATTGATTGAATTGATTTTTCTCTTGGGAAATGTAATCACTTTTAATTCTTGGGTGCATTAACAAGCTTAACTCTCTTGGTAGACACAACGAAAGATAAAGGGTAGACTTGCTTACATCGAAAGAATTCAAATCCAAAAAATAAATAAAACAAGTAATTCTTAAGCAAAATACAAAACCGAGTTCAATCCTCATATACAAATTTAAGATTATCGTTAAATTCTTCATGATCCAATGATCGGATTTAAACCAAATTAGTATGCAACTACCTGTGAGGCAACACAAAAAAAAAATATTCCGACGAACTGATAACCTCCTCCTGTTTGTGAAGTCGGTTAAAAATTAAGTTCTTAGGGCCCTTTCCCCACACTTTTCTTTTGAGCTTTTATAATATTTTTATTTCAATTAAATTTTTTTTTGTTTTTCATCTTGTTTTTATATTTTTTATTTTATTTTCTTAGTTATGTAAGTCTATGATTATTTTGTTAGCATTTGTTTTAATTTTTTTTTATTTATTACTCACAAATATTGACTGTGATGACAAACAAACAAATATATCTCTACCGAATTGCGAGTAGTATGTGTGTGTGTGTTTGCATACCAGCATACATACCAATCAAACATAATGTACAATAAGTAAATATGCATAAAAATACATTTAATAATCGCTTTGCTATCCACCTAACCTACACGCTCCTACAAACACAAAATGTAAATGAAAAAACACTTAGACTACTCGTATTCATAAATTTATTAAAAATCGAATTAGACTTCTTCACTTAAATCTAATTTGTACGCAACTGTCGTCTCTTCCGCCTTTTGATAACTTCTTCTTCCCATTTCCGCCTCTGTTCTGTTAGGCCATTCAATGCCTTGTTTTGTTTAAATACAAACTCTTTTGTGTCATTTTTAATATCAATATTTTTTAATTCTAATTTTTCTAATTTTTATTTAATTCATATTCATATTGTGTCTGCTTTTAATGGAAAATAGACTATAAACTATGATTATAAAAATATTTTTTAGCCAAAACCAAGAATGTTCAGCTTAATTACGGCAGAAAAAAGTTACGCAGCAACTCAAAATTTAACGCCTTTTAGACTAACTTTGTATTCAGCACACATATTTAATTTCATAACTACAATACATATATATTTATATGTACATCAGTCTAATGATTTTCTACTGAATGTTTTAATCCATTAGCCTCCACTTATAATAGTTTGTAAATAGATAAGTGTAGTTATAAAACTTGAACACCACTTTTGTATATTTTTTTTAGCTATCGAATAAAAATCCGCAGAAGATGCGTACAGTTTTCTTATAAATTAAAATGTGTTTATTTAAAATGGAAGCAAGATATTTAGTTATGAAAAACTGAATGTCAGTGGTTCCCCGTGGGCTCCTCCAAAGAGTCAATTGACAAATACTTGGAAAGAATTGATGTCGACTGACATTATAACCTTTCGTCTTCAGTGATGGAAAATAAGGTGCAACTGTACTTTTTCAATCCTTTTTTAATTCGAAGGTACATTTGATCTAATTACGGCATTTTTCTGTATATTAAAGACGTAGCCAAATAGATTTTCTAGGAATTTTTTCTTACTATGCAAAGTGCGGTAAGTTATCTCATTCAAGTGTAGACAGATACATCGGAGCTTGGCAGGCAAACGCAAGGGCCGCAAACCCAAAGACATATCTTCCTGATGAGACATTATCCGATCTGTTATTAATGCTGGTTTCTTTATAACTCCGAAGTAGTGGCTATCAACAGTGACCCACCCAATAAGCGGGCGAGCCTTGGTTTGTTTAGGAGGTGCTTTGACTATTCCCCGTTAACTGCTAGAACAATATTTTTCGCTCATTTCTTTAATTTTAAGTAAGCCGCGATGAGGGCTTTGGTACTAAGGCTAACATCACCAGTTACATTTGCGTACGCCTGAAGCGTCATGAGCCACTTTTGGACTCCTCAGCAGCTTAACCAAGATTTTTGGCAACATATCAAGCAACCAGGCTAATGTGCAAGTCAAATGGCCTCCTATTGAGTGGTCACAAGTTGGTGCAGTAATAATTCTGGTATTGGCGACTGATAATGATAGAACTGGTATTAATTTTTTAGATCAATTAGTCCAATTTTAGCTAATTTATTTCCCTTAATTAAGTAAAATTCGAATATTTTATTTTGCATTCCAAGGAAATATTTTAGTTGTTGCTCCGAAGTCGCAAACGACCTATGCATAGGATATCTAATAACTGGTAAAGCTACAGAAATAGTCTATTATTTAATACTTTCCTGCAAAAGCACTTTAATCCGAGATTCGTATCTAGGTATGTGGATGATTAGACTGCTACTTTCCGCTTTAACTGCTGCATAATAAAACAGACTAAAAGTATGCACCAAAGTGTCTCACCTTCGCTTGAATTGACGATGTTTTTTTTTTTATAATTTTTTCAACCCAAAACTAATTCACCTAATGAATTTGAGCTTTGCAACACCGCATTAAAAGCTCGACGCACTCACGCTCCACAAATGAAGAATGACGTCGACAAAAACAAACAAATAAAAATTTGGTATTCGCAACGTGCAATTCGCTAACTACCACAAACAAGCAATAAATTAAGTGCAAGCAGACAGTCGCTTCGCATGCAGTGCATGCAAGCACAACTCCTACGCAACAGCGTTCAATTTTCGATTCATTTAACTTGAGCGCTTTTAATTGGAAACTTAAGAAATTCACTCTCACTACGTGCGTGGTGGCGCGCGTATACTTATTTATAGTTGTTGTTGTTGCACACTACAGCAGCGACTGTTTGTCGAAGTTTGCCAATCGCTTTCGCAGTTCATCTTCACAGTCATTTTTTATCATTTGCTGCAACTTTAGAATTTGTTCGCACAAAAGTAGACTGCAGCAGGGGGGCAACTGTAGTCGAGTCTGCGGCTATCGAGCTGCTAAAGTTGCATACTTTTCGATATGCATGTACGTAGACAATAAGGTCTGTAGCTCCGCATGCTAGTTTGCCAAATACGAAACTGCACTAATGTTGAGCCAAATTTAGTAGAAGCGCAACAGTTGCATTTCCTGCTGGGTTCCTCCAAAGTGCTCGATTGTCTATGTATGTATGTATGTATGTACACCTGTTCAAATTCAATAGAGCTCTTTTTTCAGTGCAGCAAAAAGTTCATTTCTTCCGCTGCGTCTACGAATGGCCTTCGTTTTTCGCCACATTGCCGTGAATGGTGTCTGCTGTGCAATAGATTTTATGGCTACACTCGCTTGTTTGCCTCTTGGTTCTATATTTATTTTCCTATTTTCGAATACAACTGCCACCACAATTCACAGATGGCGATATTTCGTGTCATTTCGCTTCATTTTCACGACGGCGGTAAGGCGTCTTGTGGCACAATGCGAATGCGGTTAAGAGGATTGCGAAGGAATCCACTTCCTTGGCGGGTGCAATGAATAATTTGTGTAATTTTTGTGAAATTATTTCAAGTAAGGAATAAGGTAAAACTATTTGGTAAAGATAAGTACTTAGCATTAAAGTGTAACGAAAACTATTTCCTCGCAAGCGCCCAAGAATTTTCATTTGCGTGGGTCCAGTCCGTCTCTGGAGAAGTATACGGCTTATTTATACTATCCCTATGTCAGATTCGAGGTAATTTGAAGGCCAAGTAAGGAAAAATATGTACATTGAGTTCACCTGAAAATTCAATACAATTCTTCAAAACTTGACCTTGGGATGACTTTGGCATTACCTTAGACTTAGTCTAACTATACAAAGTCATAAAGTAACATGAAGCACTCAACCTGCAGTCACAGGCATTCTTTTTAGTCCTGGAAGAAAGTTGAATCTTCTGTTAAATTAGAGTGTAGCAACATTTTGACTAGCGCAGCTTGTACAGCACTTAACAGAAAACATAAAACAACATTATATAGTAAGATTTTTAAAAGGTCAAAGTTCGCTTCCTAGTACCAATTTTTCTGAACGTGCATAGCCTGTGCACCCACAAATGGCTGTAATTGTTCTGAGGTCTCTTATAAAAGATCAGCTCTGGCCGCAGTATCTAGGCGAGGGATATCAACCTCTTTCACATCCAAAGTGACTGGCAACTGTATCTGTAAATACATATATATTGCACTCACTTGGCAAAAAGTGATTATAATAAACGAAAGCGCGAATGGCTGAACTGAACTTCGTTGATTTCGAAGAGCAATCTACGCCTTGTAAACAGCTTCAGTATTTATGACAGTTTGTTAGCTACTTTTCAGCTCTTACTAAGTAGTTTGATTAAAAATACATCTCTAAGTATAAGCTAATATACCTCCGTGCACTCCAAACCAACTCAAGTACATTTATCAACAAATTTACATTAAAATTTATTTGAACAAAAATCGCTCTTAAACTTCAGCACACTAATGCAAAGTAAACCCCTCAAGTTGCACTCAATATTCCTTGGCAGTGTTGCTACACCTCAGCTCAGTCAGCCAGCCAAACAGCCAATCAAGCAGCCAGCCACTCAAACTGAGCTAACCAAACCACCACAGCCATCAGCTCATCGCCTGCTGGTCATCAACTTTCATGTCAATTTATCTGCGCTCCGAGCTGCCAACGCGA